TTTATAAAATAATAAATAAATAATTCTTTTTAATTAAAAAAATAGACGTGCACATAATTTGTGCAACGTGACACCCCCGATTGAATTTTCAACACTGGTGCTATCTTTCAAGACTTTATGGTACTATGATGCAGATCATCCAACCTCCTATAGATCGGCGGGAAATGTGGAACAATAAGTGTAACGAACGCGTTCTGTTTTTTTAAAACAATTAGTTACCCATTCATGTTTATACTAAAGGAAATAATTTTGAAATAGAAATTAAAAATAAAAATCAAATGATCAATCTAAATCACTTTGAAAGATAATAATATAGAGTTTCATAGAATAAAGTTTGTTGGATTGTTATATACCTAAAGTTACGCTACCACTAGGAATTTAGTAAATAGAGAGCTGGAAGCACTTTGTGGCTATAACTTATGAAAGTTGCCAGTTAGGTAGCCAGTCCTAATGTACGGTGATGTCGTAAACGTCCTTCTATCTACACCAACCGAAAGCCAGCTAATGTGTATCAAGAGGGTCTGTGATGAATAGATATATGAATTAAAGAGAACTGGATGCCACAACTTATGAAAGTTGCTAATTAGGTAGCCAATCCTAATGTACGGTGAACGATCTATTGTGAACATCCTTCTCAATTCTTGGTGACTGAATGCTCTAGGGAAACCCCAATCGCCAATGGTTGTGATTGAGTGAAACACATATTGCATTTTTTCATAATTAATGTCAATTAATGACATTTATTTTGAAAATGTAACGATTGACCATTTCTTTTTTTAGAAGGGTTTAGATGGTCACCAGTTCTCATCATTCTTTTTCGTGAGTTACTGAGTTGCTCGAGGGCATAATATCTCATGTGGATGTCCGACTAAGAATGTGAGAAATTTACTAGATTCAATGCCCAATACTACATAATATATTGGAACTAGTATATTTATTTTTATTTTTCAGAAATGATCTTTAAAGAACTTGTACATCAGAGGGAGGAAATAATATGATGAAAAATCACCACCACCATCGTCACTCTTACCGCCATCTTCACCTTTGCCACTCCATCTTCACCATTATTTTTCTTTAAAGTTAATTTACGCACAGCCCTAATATTATTATTTGGGTGGTGCAATTTTTTAAATTTTACAATGTTGGAATCAAGCTAGCCTAGCCACTAAAACTTATATCAAAAGACAGGATATTCATCGTGATAGATGCGCAAGAAACAAAAAAATTAAAAGTCAATAATCTGCACAATGAATTTTTATGTGTTTATGATGCTGGAATTGAGCTATTTTTATTCGTGAAACCCCCATTAAAAAACAGGGTATTTGGCAAGATATATCTCAAGGTATCAACGAAGAGTAAATCTAAATTGATGATAAGTATAATTTAGTTAATACACTTTGATCTTTTGTTAAAATTTAATTTTTTATCCATTTAAATTTATTAATGTGATCAGAGTTTTTATGTTTTTGGCCACGTGGTAATGACATTAAAATATTTATATTTGATTTGATTTAAAGGAAAATTATTAATATAGATAAAATTGATAAGATAATTCACATCACAATCTATTGAAGAGGAGGAAGATAAGCATCAATGCTTGTCATATACAGTCTGCTATTCTCAAACTCTGGTAATAACTCGATTGATAAAAAAATTGGCTTTTTTCATCGAAAGATCTGAGAACATTGGCATTATGGAGTTTTTATGTGAGCAGATTTTCGAAAGGATATAACATGTCCACATCTGTCTAGGAAACTGTTACCAAGTACATCATTTGTCAGATGGTGATTCATCACAAAATGATATCTGTTTTAGAATTTTAGAAGAAAATATGATTCGTGATGTTTCAAATATTGAAGATGGAAAGTATTGTCTGTCATGTGTCAGTAATTTCGAAAGTATTGATGACTGGTGTTATGTTTGAATTCACTGTTGACATGTCACATAGAATCAAGCATCATGGTTTAGAGGAGCTATACCCAAGTTTGGTGGTAAAGAAGCATCCCACAGAATTAGGCACCATTTTGTAAAGCTCCGAACGAACTGAGTTTATACTTAGCTCGGACTCGAACATGAAAAAGCACTGGCTCGAATTTAATATTATTTTTTAAAAAATCACAATCTTGCAGACCACTGGAATAATAGAAGTAAAAACAATAATGAATTATACAATATACTTGAATTCTAGAACATTTAAATCGTCACCAATGATTTTATGACAGACTAAAATGATAACAATTCAAGATTCTATGTTTAAACAATATTTGTACTTCTAATAAAAAAAATGGTTTTATATATATGCATTCATCCAGTCAAATCTCAACGATAGAAAACCGCAATTAAATTCGTTACACCAAACCTACTAATCACGTTTCAACAATTCGTTGTAATCTGTGGAAAGGATATGAATGATGGTGATTGCATGTTCGTAAAGGAAGATTTTATTAAATTAGATCAGATTCAGGTTTATTCATTTGATTTTTTTAGAGATGATTTTTAAGGAACTCTATAACTTGTAATTATATATACAATTGGGAAGCACATATCAAAAAAAAAAAAAGGGAACCAAGTAGAGAGATTTGACCATTATTACCACTACCACTTGGGCGATAAGGCAACGGAATCCTTATTATACATGGAAAAGAATTTCAGTTTAAATTATCAAGGGTTTATTTTTCAAATCTGCCAAATTTTCCCATCTTTTACTTGTCAGGGTTTTTTTCAAAAGTTGTTTCCTTAAAAGTTTCATTTCTTAGTATTTATTATTAGTGTGGATTGACATTGAACATGGGAGACATTAGATACATGGGAGACATTAGATATGCATTGGACAGTATCCAACATTGTCCAATGCCAACCCTGATTATTATTAATATTAATTATGAATAATCAAATGCATAATAGGCGTGATACAATAGTGGAGGCAGAAATATTCACATTCAAGAAAAGGATTAAATAATGCAATAATATGATTGGCATAGTTTTTAAGCTGGAAATTACTCTTCTTGATGAGTTACGCCTAACAGTATTCTTTACATGATATCGACTGCGGACAACGTTAGTAGATTCAATATTAATTAATATGACATGCTTAGAACATATTATAAAGAGTAACTTGATTTTATTGATTTTATTTATTTACATATTATTTTTAAATATGAAATTTGAAGAATCTAATTCTACATTATTATCGTTATTTATTGAAAATTTTTTTTGTCCAATTACAATAATTACATAAATAAATGAAACTAAAATTGATAATTGATAGGAAATATTACTTGATATTAAAATATTAAATAAAATATTTAAAATATGAAAAAAAAATATCACAGTTAAAATAATAATTTTACGTATTATATTCTTACAATAAGTCTATAAAAAAATAAATAATCATATAAACTAAACTATTAAAATTATAAATATTAAAATTAACCATAGTTCCAAGCCGAGATTTATTAATTACATTAAAACTTGGTCATTAAACCCTATAATTAAATTGAATTCCTAGACATTGACAACAGCTAATCTTCTTTTTGGTATTGTCATGACAACAACTTCTCTATCCCTCATGTCTTGTTCAGCATCTTCATCAACATCATTATTGCCACTATTTACATTCGTTATATTTAGAGGAGTAGAAGAAACAGCTGTAATTTCCTTTTTTCCCTCGTCATCACTTTCGTCACCTTCATTAGAATATGGTAAGTAATTGTCTCTACCACCACAATATTTAGCAGCAAATGATACTAGCAATGATCCTCTATCTTTTGGATATCCTAACCAAGCAGCGAATAACCAAACCAAATAAACAAATACGACGAGCGCGATAAAAATTATACAATACACTCTGCTTAACATTTTTGTTGCTCCCAAATAATATGCTATGTAAATTGCTCCTAATAATAAGATGATTTGTGTGATTATATGGAAAATATGTCTGATGACCATTATTGCATTATCTGGTTTATCGCCAATGTTACTTCTATTACCATGACTAACATTACTGCTACTGCTATTATTCTTTTTATGGTTTCTATTATCACTATTATCAATATTCGTTTTAAAATTATTACTGTTACTACTTAATCCTAATCCGGTTCCTAATCGACTTCCTGGTGATGACGCGTCGCTACTTTGTGATGAATTATTTTGTAGACTGTTATTTCTCGATCCAAAAGAATTTACGACCTTGTGGTTATCAGCTAACGAGACACTTCTACGTTGTTCCATCCAATCGTTATCATCACTTACAGATTTCATTATTGATAATGATTGTCTTGTGACTTCAAATGTTTTTGATTTTCCATTACTATCAGAGTAATCATCATTTGAACCTTTTTTAAAAGGATTCCTATTAGATATTGCTGATAATTTATTTAAAAATCCGCCTTTATTAGCATTATAAGCATTATCATGGTCTATAGTTTTTATTAATTTTTCGTCATTATTGGGAGGATCAAAACTTTTTGTCATGAATAATAAAATCAATGCTAATAATGGGACCAATACATATAATAATATTACTAATATCACTCCTATTAATCCATGAAATGATGAAAAATGTGAAGCCGGATCATCTCTAGCGTCAATGAATGCTACGCTAAACCCATAAAATGCTATTGCACACGACGAAACTAGTAATAGTGCATAGGATATTCCAACCAACAATTTGAATTTTGAATTATACCCGAATCTTACTATTGAAAATGATACTACTAATAATAAATAACCGATGGTAGAAAATAATAAATGTGAAATCGGTACTATAGCATTAGCAAAACTATCATCAGAAGATGTTGGGTTACTTGAACTAGGATTCCGTCCGGTTGGTACCTCATTAGTCCCACTGCTGCTTGGAAAAGGTGGATAAGCTGAAGTTGTTGTAACACCTTCAATTATACAATCTAAAAATTTCACTGGAGTAGTTGAATTAGAAGATGATTGTGATATAAGACTACCAGTGTACAATCTTAAAATCCATAAATCATTATAATATTTTGAAGATCCATCCAATGCCTCGCCTCCATACATCAAAATATCAACAACATCGGTTGCACTACCAAATATTGCAGTTTGAGCTGATAACATCCTTGCGCCGGCTCTTGCTTTTGGAACATTATATACAGGGTCAGCTTTTGGTAATACTCTTACCCAAGTTCCAAGATTAGCATCCAAAATACCAACTTCACCATCCCCGCCTATTCCAGTGCCATTTGCAGCCTTACCACCAAAAACCACCGCTAAATTATCTTGTGGTTTCTTACCAACCATTACCATAGCAGCCTCTTCTCTACTACCTAAACATCTATTCTGCTCGGCCCAAAATGGTTTAGCATTGTAAGCAGGTGGGTTAACTCCGTCAGAATTTAACTGTAATGAAAAGGTTTCAGGAATTGCACATTCCGCCGATGATGTATTATTACATCCACCATACGTTACTATTCTATTATTAGGTAAGATGGCACCACCAGCTTCTCTCCTACCTGTTGGAATAACCGAAGATGAAGACATATCTACCTTTACTATATTTGCTGTCAATCCGTTATTACCGGGGGCCCAACTTCCGCCCAAGCCTATTGCCCAAGCGTCAGTAAAAAAATTTGATCCGTTAGTTCCATGAGTAATCCACATTGTGTTATTAGGATTATTAAATACTGCTAATGTACTATCAATACCACCAAGAGTATCATACATTTGAGGTATAAAGGATGCACTGGGGGAAATATTTGAAATTTGTGTCCAAGTGGCATATGGTACATTAAAAGACCAAATATCATTATACATGATATCACCATTTCCTTTACCACCAAAAATAACTAATTGGTCTCTATACGACGACCATTTATCAATACCAAAAAGCATTCTTGTACGTGGATCCGGTGCAATTTTTGTAGGATCAGTTGTTAATGGATTTTTCCATAACATTGTATTTAAATCTAACATATAGGTTTGGCCTGATACACCACCACCAAACGATCTATAGTCAGAGAGAGCAAGAGAAAAAAAAATTGGTAAATTTTGAAATTAAATTGATTAATTAATTAATTAATCATATATATTACTTACGATCCACCATAGATAATTAAGTTTTTTGAATCTGAATGGTAACCAAAAGCAAAATTTTTTAGTCCAGGAGGCACCACAGTATTTGTAGATGGATACTTAGAATCTATATTTATCCATTCCATTTGAGGAATTGTCATTGTTGGATTTGATGTAGGTTGTTGACTTTGACCAATCACTTCATTTGGACTAATAATAATAATTAATAGATAATATATTATCATTAAATTAAGTGTTGTTATAAATTTTAACTTTTTTGAATAATTATTCTTCATTTTTTTATTTTTCACATGGTTATTATAATGAGCAATTTTCATTATTGTGATTTCATTAGTATCATCAAATGTTGTTAGTTTTAACATTTCTTCGTTTTATAAATTAGTTTTTTAAAAGTGTCTAATGAATTTTATTCAATAAATTAAAAAAATTCTACGTTAATTATTGTTATTATTATTGTTATTATTACTATTTAAAAAGTTTCCATATTATAATTATTATATAAAAGATCTTGAAAATGAAAATATTAACATTCAATTAAAAAACGTAAATTGTTATATATTGGAGAATATTTAGGATCCAAAAGAAGAACAAAGCTTAAAATAGAAAAAAGAGGAATAAAAAATATTTTCCAACAAAAGAGGGAAAATAAGTGGATGTGATTCTTAAATAATAATGTAATATAATGGTAATTTAGTAGTTTGTGTCACTTTTTTTATTACACAAATAGTTCCTTAAATATTTAATTAATATTCATTCATTCAATGTCCTGTGTTTAAAGAGTAAAATTACATGGATCCGATGGAGCTTACACCTTTTACGCATATTTGCTCTAGCATGAATAGAACCTCCATTATGATGCAAATATAACACAAGCGGTATTTCCTCACCGCTTGAGTTACGAGGATTCCCGCTCCTTGAACTAGAGAAATATGTGTCAACGCCTACTGAAAATTTGAAATCTCGTGATTTCAAGTGATTTAGGGATACATGGGTAGAAATTCACCAAGGTGAGTCATTAATTCAGGTATTTTTTCACTTGATTAATGCCTTTAAGGAATGAATCTAATGACAACAACTGGCTGTGATTTATCTTTTTTAGATGTAAATCTTATAGGACTTGTTGATATATACATTTCATTTTTACATCAATATTAACTGTTGCTGTTAAACACTGGCTGTATGTCCATCCAAAAGAGGAAATATGATTTAATCATTTAATCATCAGGTATTGTTGGATCAATTGTATGTAACCCATGACCCAAGAGCTAGCTCTTTAAAGAAAGAAAATACCAGAATGGCCTCGCAAAAATTTGTTGTTATTACAGCCAAACTCTTGATTTTAATTTTCGATTATCAAAATTGGAAAATGACTTTTGTAACACACATTTTCTTGAGTGATATTTATTCACCTGTGCGTGACATCTTCTGGCATCGCTTTTTTTTTTGTGTGCTTAAATAATTAATGCGTGTAACGATTTGTTTTTTTTTTTCAATGGACGCGTGTAACTACAAATTTAAAAATAATCCAAATATCCCAAATACAGTTTGCCGTGTAACTAATACAAATTTAGAAACTATCTCCGAGAATTCAAAAATTGATTGGATAATAATGTTACGCCCGACAAACCCAACAAATGAAGTCAAATATCGTGTAACTTGCAATGTAACATTTTGAATTGACCTTTCATTTTATGCCACATATTTTTTGGATCAAAAAATTAAATTAAAATCCCGTTTTGTCCTTTTTTATTCTTTCCTCCTCTCTCTACTTGTTAATTTAATTGAAAATTGATTTTTAATATAAATCAATAATTAATTAAAAAAATTTTTTTACAAGAATGATAAAAAATTCTTTAATTTCGTTACTGTTGTTATATTTTATACTATTTTTATCGTTATTATCGAACATTATCAATGCAAAAATTTATTTGAAGGAACAATTCTTGGACACCGATTGGGAAAAAGTAAATGAATAAATATTTTTATTACAAGTCATTAATATTTTCAAGAAGCATATTGATTACTTTAATATATTAATTAAACAATGATTGATTAATTAATTAGAGATGGATCCAATCTAAAAGTAGTGATGATCTCGGTGAATTTGTTGAATCAGCTGGTAAATTTTATGTCGATGAGTTAGAGTCTCGTGGCTTGCAAACATCCCAAGATGCCAAAAAATATGCAATCTCTACAAAATTAGATGATTTAATCGATAACACTGATAAAACTTTAGGTAAATTTAAAATTTAATCACGAGTTTTAAAAATCGATTACTATTATATTTACTTGCATTTCGTATAAACATGTAATTAAGTTGTGCAATTTTCGGTAAAGCATGAACAAAATATCGATTGTGGAGGTGGTTATATCAAGGTAATTAACTATTAAAAGATAAGATCGATTGATAATGAATGACGTGCTAAATTTAATTTATCAACTTTATGATTTATTTAATGATCAGCTTTTACCTGAAGATTTTGATCCTTTGAATTTTAATGGTGATTCAAAATACAACATAATGTTTGGTGTAAGTTTTTCTTATTTCCATTTTTCACCAATCATTAAAATTTCTAATTTCCTAACAAAACATCATTATTAAATAATATCATAATATGTATTTTTTTTAGCCAGATATTTGTGGACCTAAACGTAAAATACACTTGATTTTTCAATATAAAGGAGAAAATAAATTAATAAACAAAAACCTTCCAACTCCATACGATCAATTAACTCACTTATTCACATTGATTGTTAAACCAGATCATGTAATATATTAATTTAATAATTCAAATTAAATTCAATCAATCAATTATTTACACTAATTAATATATATATATATATATATAATATTAGACATATAAGGTTTTAGTTGATAATAAAGAAGAAGCAAGTGGTAATTTAGAAGATGATTTCGATTTTCTTCCTCCAAAAGAAATTAATGGTTAGAATTTTATTTTATTTTATTAATTTTTTTAGTTAATTCTCTTGATCACTAAAATATATCTTATTTATGTTTTTTAGATCCTGATGCTAAAAAACCAGAAGATTGGGTAGATGATGAATTAATAATAGATCCAAATGACACTAAACCAGAAGATTGGAAAGACGTTCCACAAACAATACCTGATCCAGATGCCGAAAAACCAGATGATTGGGATGGTAAAACACTTTTCTTTTTCTTTTCCCGCCAAAGAAAGACTAAAATAATATAACGTTTGTATATTTAATAAATAGATGAGTCAGATGGTGATTGGGAAGCACCACATATCTCAAATCCCGATTATCAAGGTGAATGGAAACCAAAAATGATAAAAAATCCATTATACAAAGGCCCGTGGAAACAGCCAAAAATCTCAAATCCTGACTATAAACCAGACCCATCACTTCACGCCTACAAAACTTTATATGTTGGATTTGAATTATGGCAAGTTAAATCTGGTACTATTTTTGATAATATTTTGATTACGGACGATGTTGAATTTGCCTCGACTTTTGCAAACCAAACATTTGAGAAATTCCGTGAACAAGAAATCGAAGCGAAAGAAAAATTGGATTCATCCGAGACAATTAAGGTTTCTGATGATCCTGACGAAGAAGATCTTGATTTAGATTCAGATTTAACTGATGATATTACTGATAGTTTCAGTGGTAAAGATGATAAAAAATTAAACGTTCAAGATAATCAAGATAATCAAGAAATTCTTAGAGCGGTGCCGATTGATGATAAAATACAACAACAACAACAAAATCAGCAGCAGAAACCATCATCTCATGAAGAAGAAAAAGTTGAAAAAGTTGAAAAAGTTAGTGAGGAAAAAGTGAAAGAAGATGGTGAAGATGAATTTGATAAATTATTTGATATTCTTGCTAATGATGATAAAAAACCACACAAGGATGAATTATAAATATAAATATAGACTAATAATAGTAGTTATAAGAAATTTTTTAGATTAATTACATATTTATTTACTTTTCTTATTTATTTATATATATATATATATATATATATATATATATATATAATAATATTGATAAAAAACAACTATTTCATAAAAACTTCAAGCCTTAGTACTTCATTTAATGCAATCTTATCTTTAATGGTTTTCCAATTATCTTCATCTTTTAATAGAATCCATAAATCATTTAGACCCTTGTACCACATCCTTTCATACTTCCATCCAAATCTATATTGAACATGAAATCTAAAATAACTAAATAACTCACTTGTATGAAGAACAATTGCACGTTTTTGAGTTGATGATGTACAAGTAACATATATCTAGAGTAATTTTATGGAATAGAATATTATGGAGTTATAATAAATTAACTATAATAATTAATATAATAAATTTCCTTGCCTCTTCATTCTCAGGGTTTTGGCTGATTTTAGTTTCCGTAAATATATTTATTTGATTTTTAGCGAATTCAACTGGACTAAATTTATGTCTTTTTTCCAAATTACTCTAAATTTTTTTAAAAAAAATTTCAATCTTGTATGTAATCTCATAATATTAATCTTATTACTTCCATTCATCATTACCTTATTGATTTGACGAATCATAGTATTCAATGATTTCTCAAACATCCGTGATCTACTGGTATCAAATCTATGTTCAGGTTTAAAATTAAGACATCTTATACCATTTATTATACCTTTTGTTGGATCAATATCAGTACGAACAGATCTAAATTTGTATGGATATCCTTCTGAATGATGATAAAATTTCTAAATATGTACGAGTATGTGTGTGTACGCGAAGAGAATGGGAGAGTAGGTAAATCGATATATGTAATATACACAGTTATTTATATAAAATCACATATTTTTAAATATGATTATTATTATATTTACATGTAAATAAATATATTTAATTACTACCTTGTCAAAGTCTGGTTTAAGTTTGACTACTATGGAATTATCTTGAATAGTTTTAGCACCTTCAACATCTTTTAATCCAATACAAATTTCATCTTTCATATGGTTCATACATATAGAAATTTCACGTGTATTTCTATATAAAAGTAATGCCATATCATATTGATCTGCTGAACGTATGCACAATGTTCGGGAGCCACTGAAATGTATTTGTTTTAGTGGAAGTTTGATTTCATCTATATTCCAACTATTATTATTTTTATAATATGAACTCCTATTAGAATGCGAGTCATCGAAGAATTGTTGTTTTTGATTTTGATTTTTTAGAAAATCTGGAATAGGATTATAGAGAGTTTCATTTGATGGTTTTTGTGGTAACAATGAAGAGCCTGTAATCGTAACGTGAATGAGTATATATACATACACGATACAATACAATATGCAATATATATTTATATGTTTTATACTTAACTTGTAACCCATTCAATTTCTTCATCGTCGTCATTTTGTTTATTACGATCTTCACTTTTTTTTACAATATTGTAGTCCATTATCATTTATCATTTAAAAATTTTATTTTCTGAAAAAAGATCATGTTGATTATCTATTTATAATTTTTGGTCAGGTGAATGAGTTAAAAAATACAGTCAACCCTCCATAAGTGCACCCCCCTTGGGACCAGGCAAGACCGTGCACTTATGGAGAAGTGCACTTATAGAACAAAAGTATTTTATTGGTTGCACGTGACACTAATGAAAAATTAAAAAAATTTTTTATTTATAAAATTATTTATTGATTGATAAAATCATACATTGTAGTTTGTTTCATTCTATTTATTTTTTTTAGATTAATAAATTTATCAAGAGCATTAGCCATTTTTAATTGTTCACTAGAATTTTCTTCTTGTAGTAGAAATGCATAAACAGTTTTTAAACTTTTTGAAGCTTCGCTGGCACTTATTACCACTGGTTCAATACTATCATCTTTATCATCTTCGATATCCTCAATAGGCACTTCTAGCTGTTTTTTAAATATTTCTACAAGACCCTCAATAATTTTATCATCATTATCAGGAACCTCATAAACCATTCCTTCTTCTGGATTATTTAAAAATTCATCAATTTGCATAGCATTAGATAGGTTAAGTGCTCCAATTGAATCCGAAAGTTCTTCTAATGTAGGAATATTAGTTTCTCCAACATTGCTAGCAGTATCAATGGCAGCTGGGAGGATTTTGGTATGTTGCCAGCGGTTTCAGGTGTGATTTCTTCCCAACTTTTAATAATGTATTGTATTGCCTGCAATACATCCATTTTAAAATCTTTTATATCATTTCCATCTTCAACTTGATTTAGAATCCATTTAATATGTAAATGACGATAATGTTTTTTAAAAGACATAATAATTCCTGCATCCATTGGCTGAATTTTTGATGTGGTGTTTGGAGGAAGAAAATGAACATCAGCATGAGAAAGAACCAAACCATCAATCTTATGGCTTGGACAATTATCAAGGAGCAATAATACCCACTGATTATATTTTTGAGCAACCTCCCTGTTAAACTCTTGAAGCCAGTCTTGAAAAACAGTAGACAGCATCCATGCCTTAGTATTATAATGATATGTCATTGGTAAGTTGTTTATGTTAATATTTTTAAAACACCTTGGCTTTCCAAATTTTCCAATTATTAATGGATTCAACTTGTGTGATCCATCAGCATTTGTAACAAAGCAATTGAAAGTCTTTCTTTATTCTTTTTACGACCAGAAAGTCTATTTGTAGCTAATGTTCTATCTGGTTCTAATCTGTAAAGAATAAAAAATAAGATCAAATTCTATTCAATTTAAATACAGATAATAGATTGGTATTAAAATATTAATTACCTATAGAAAAGACCTGTTTCGTCCATATTATATATTCTTTCAGCAGGATAATTTCCACATTTACCTCTCAATAATGGTAAAGCATCACTAATGGCAGCTAGATCAGCTGATGATGCCTCTCCATGAAGTTTTATTTGATGAATTCCATTACGATTTTTAAATTTTACAAGCCATCCAGTAGAAAATTTCAATGTCCCTTCAGGAATTCCTAACCCAGTTGCTATTTGCTTAGCCTTTTCAACTAAAATAGCATCACTCAAGATTGCTTTGTGTTGATAAACTAAGACAAATTCCTTAAGAGCCAATTCAAGTTCGGGGACAATCACAGATTTATGTCTTTTTGCTTCTGGATTGCTAATTTCAGTGCTAAGTATTTCTTTACTTTTTTGAATAATTCTGGTTATTGTTGATTCATGAACTGTAACTCCCCATTTTTGTTCAATCCATCCAACATATTCTTTTCTGGTCAATTTATTATTTGCAGCAAATAAGCAAAATTCATATTTTTGGGTATCAGATAAAGTTATTTTACTTGAAGACATTTTTTTATTTGGAAGTTATAAAAGAATACGAATGACTTAATGATATAAAACAATTACAGTAAACAAAGATTGATATATAATAACTGGATATTTTTCTTTTTTAAAGTAATAAGTGTAATTCGATTTAATTATTAAAATTCTTAATTTTATCTGTTATGACTTTTCTTTTACCTTTTTATATGTAATAATTCCAACTATATAAAACATAAGAGCTTTGTCACCTGGATTCTTATTCTCTTATTCTCTTATTCTCTTATTCTCTTATTCTCTTATTCTCTTATTCTCTTATTCTCTTTTTCCATTTGTTATTCTGTTATTCTAATAATTATTTACATCCATTAAAAAGAAAGAATTAATCATTTGTTATAATAAAGAAAGAAAGAATTCTTTATTTTCTTGTTACCTGAATTATTATTTTACAATGTTTTAAAACATCATTGTACATGGAATTACTAAATTAAAAATCAATGTTAAAATTTTAAAAAGGTCAATGGCTTACTTTCTCCACTTTAGGAATAAATTCATTAAAAAATGACACTAATGTTTTCCTCACTAATAAATAAATAATGATTTCATATTGCGGCGCAGTCACGTGAAAGTCACGGGAGTGCACTTAGAGAGGGTGGTTTTATATGAACGGGACCAGGAAAAGACTGTGCAGTGCAGAACATAGAGAGGGTGCATTTATCTCTAAGTCCCGAGCTTGGGACTGGGACATAGGGTGCACTTACGGAGAGGGTGCACTTATGGAGGGTGCACTTATGGAGAGTTGACTGTATATGATGATTTTGGAAAGGTGAATGATGAAGATCGGGCTCACAACTTTTATTTCTTTATGCATGATACTTGTAAACATTTGTAAATATGTTTTTCTTTATTTCTCTTTTCTAATGCAAAGGATTTTTTAAAACAATATTAAGTATCACTATGATATCATGGTTAATATCATCTTCACTAACTTTAATAAGGTTTTCTTTGAGACATGAGTACTTTGAAAATAATTATTGTTCAGAAGGAACTTGGAGTCGCCTTGCATTAGATCCTTTGTTAAAAATTCTCACACGTCAATTGAGTGCACATAGCTTTAAGCAATGGTATGTATTCCTTTCTTTCCATTAATTTAGAATTTGATTTTATTGGACACTATATCTGAAATATCTAAAATTAATAGGGGTGAAACCGGATCTCTTGCCTCAAAATTTCGTAAGGGAACATATCCTCAAAAACCAGATTTTTGGTTTTTAATGAAAGCTGCTGGTACAACACAAGAGATTTTATATGAAGAAACATCTGGTACCCCATTTGCATCCAAACCAGATAAAAACTCTTCTGATTTATACAAGTTGTTTCGATTTGGCCGAGATTCAAAAAATATGATGACTGATCAGTTAATCATAAAAAATTTTAAACAACTACAAGATTATGAGGATTTATGGAAGCAGTTGTGTGAAATTGAAGTGTTCCTTTTTCACATTTATGGTATATTTTATCATGCTTTATTTTTATTATTTTTTTTTGATTGAAATCTGGTAATTATTCTAAAATCTTTTCAATTTTTTATAAAACAGAAACAAAGCTCAAGATATACATAATGGATCAACCAGGTCCCCATTATGTCGTGTACGTCTAATATTTGATCTTGAAATTCCATATGATTTGTCTGCAGACAAAAGCCTTGTTTTGGGTTTCATACATAGCTTATGGAAGATTCATCTAGGTTTGGAAAAGACTATGAAAGATATGGATAGCATATGTGATAAGATACAAGAACAGCAACAAGAACTTCTTGCTCAATTATCTAATGGTTCACCTAATTGTTCTATTCAAATTTATCACTCTTATCCATCTCCATAAATAGAGTTATAATTTAATCATATTCTTTTGCAGTTTTAAAAATTGAATTATAAAAAAAATTTGCTACCTAATATATTTTTTTTAACTCAAGTTTTTTGATTTATACAGTTCATCATCATAATTTTTTTCCTTTATCTATACAATTACATAATTTCCTATTATTTTTAATTGCTGAATTGATGTCACTAATCATAATTAATAAGATAAAAGTTATCATCTATAAATTTTCTATACTGTATAACCTAGGGGTATTAATTAGGACTACAGTCAAAGCTTGTTAAATTCATATATGATAAATTCATAATTCATAATTTTTCAGGAATCAGTACCACTTATATTAAAATTTTATTCCATAATTTCATATTTATAATAATAATAAAATCTCGATAATTGGAATACATATGTAAACATGTAAACTCAATAAGTCAGGCACAACAATCAATTGTTTAAAGTACTTGTAAATCTGACTTGTTGAGTTTACATAACTCTCTGACTCTTTGTATATGTCACTAGAAGTAGCCAATCTCAATTCATTTTTTCTCAAAAATCTTATCCTTTTATGATAATGGGATAATTTGATTCATAAAATTTGCTGTGCCAAACCTATATAGTTATTTATAAAAAAATTTTTTTTAATCAGTGCGAATTCATGCTAATTGATAACCACATTAAAGATAATGATGAATCTAATGTTGTAAGTATTGCATTCTCTTCAAACGAATAGATTTTTGACTATATTACCTATCTGTAAGAATTACTTTTTATAAGTTAAAATATGAATACGTTTTTCTATGAACAGATATTTTAATTGTTGTAAAAATAATTAAGTTAATTTTATTATCTTAGAAGATATGTCCTTTTTATAATAAATTACATAAATTGATAATAAACAAAATATATATATAACATTTCTAACTATAATTTATTATTAATAAAATGAATAAAGATGTTAACTGAAAAAATTTTGATCCTTGCATAGCATGTGGTAATCAAAATCCTAATATAGAATTACCACAGAAACAATATTAAAAATAAATCAGAGTCCTAAATATTAAACCTCAAGTTGATGACCAACTTTGTAAAAAAAAACATTATAATGAATTAATTGAAATTAGAAGTAGTCAAGTTTCAGGAAAAATCAGAAGAGTGAAGTAAAAAGCAAAAACAGGAGTTATTAGATAAGATAAAAAGTTTAAAAGAAAAAATTAATCATCTAGAAGAAGAAAACAGGAAATTGGAAGATCAACAGAAGGGTCAATTAACTGCTCAAAATTGAAGTCAAAGATACTAAAAGATGATCTTGATTGAAAATAAAAAAGTAGTTTTAAAGAATATTCTGTATGAATTGAAATTCACCTTAACTATCAAATTATTTTCCTTTTAAAGATTTTTGCTTTTTATTAGGCAATAATGCATCATCATCATGATGTTTTCTTTTTCCAACATTTATTATTTTTCTTTCTTCTTGGTAAATTTCATAAGTGATCCTTTCTTTTCTTAGATAAGCTTCAGTGTTTGAGTATCATTTATTTTAAAAATATAAGGTGCATTTTTTTCATCCTGTTCCTTTTTCAAAATACTTCTAATGGTGCTATAATTCTTGGGTTCCATGGTAGACCTAATGTAAACAAGTTTCATATTAATTATTTTTGTCTAGACAAATTACATTGTAATACAATTGTGATATTAAAAAAACATTATTGATCTCTGAAATTCTGGTAATATCAATGTTCACTTTGTCTGGTTTTGTTGCAGCATGCCCCATATAATCTTTTTAAATTGTACAGATTCAGAAAGAAAGATATTATTATTATTTCTCTTAAAAAAAAGGCTGAAGATGATATCAGTCATGAAAAAATTTAAAAAGTAACATTGATGTAATGGAACTTGATGTAAATATTGATTCATTTGATGGTTTATATTTTTAATCTGGTAATAAAATCAATTGATTTATTTGTTATTTTTATTTATTTCAGGCTGAAAAGGTGTCATATTGGCCATAGCTCTTTCAAAGAAAAGCATTCGCTCCAATAGAAAATGTTGTAAATAATGTGTTATTATCATCAGCTGCAACTCAACAACAAGTGGTACTGCGACTTAGATTAAAGCATATAATAGAGATATGCACCAGATCACTTGAACTATGATGATCTGATAGTTTCTTCAATTGTTGACACATCAAATCCTCACCCATGGCTTAGAAATAACTTTTCAAATGAAGAATGGAAAAAAATTTCGGATAAGTCAAATTCAAAAATAAATGATGTTGGCAATGTGGTACAATTGTTCTGATACACTCTGCTAAAACATCAATATTGAATAATTCTTCAGGAGCCAAACCCTATCACAAAGAAAATTTATTAAAATCCAAGTTGGTTAAAATGGAATAGTCAATTAGTCATTTGAAGAGAATATAATTTCCTTGTGTTGAATTCTTTATCCCATAATAAAAAGAACAATATATTCAAAAAGTGATTTACTTATTTACTTACAGAACCGATTACTTCATCTACAGATAATACTTCTTGATATCTTGTATTAGAAATTTTTTCTGCTGAATATATTTTGAGGTTCATGAAGATCATTTCCCTCCAAGACTACTTTCTTTGACTCTCTTTCAAATATAATAGGATGTTGGAGAAGGTCTTTCCCTTCTTTAAATCGTAACACTTTATCTTTGAAGTTTATAGTGGCTTCTATCTTTCTCAGCCAATTATTTCCTAGTATTACATTATAATTGGTGGCTCTCATTACAGCCATATCTATGTGTATTGGTTTTTTTCCATCTAAAGTGACTAAAACGGTTTTTACTAATCCCAATGGCCTAGTTTCTTTGCCATTGATGTCTACTAATCGAGAATTAGATTCTTGGTCAATCTGTCTTCCCAGTTTATTTAAATATTGTTGAGTTATTAAGCTAAGTCCTGATCCT